CGGCGGCGGCGGCACGAGGCGGGTGGTGCAGTGTGTGTGCCGCGCAGGGGAGAGGCGGGGGCGGGGGCGGGGGCAGGTTGGTGAGACGGCGACTGCCCCTTCGCCTCCTTTGCGCCAGCTCCCAGCCGGGCAGCAGGCCTGCTGCCGGCATGCTGGCAGGTGGGCGGGGGTCTGCGTGATGGGTGCGCTCGCCTCTTTGGCCTTTCGGGACGAAGGGCAGACGAGCTTGGAGAAGACGGCGGCGGGGCTGCCCGACACCGTCTGCTGGATGAAGGCGCGCGGGTCGGCGGCGGGGGAGGGAGATGCTGGGGCCGGGGAGGCGCCGGCGGGTGGCGCGTCGCCGAGGCGGCCGGGGCGGGTCTGCCCCACCGGCACGCAGGAGGCCATCCTGCTGCTGGGGGCGAAGCGGGGAGGGAGCAGGAGGTGGGCAGGCAGGCGCCTGGGGCATGGCAGGGGCCGCTTCGCCAGCGCGCCACGCCGCGGACAGGGCAGCTGTGCACAAGCTGGCGGCAGCCGGCCTGAAGGTGCCCCTCCCTGGCACCTCCTGCCCTCCCGCTTAAAAACCGCTGCACAAACCACGGCACAAGCAGCACGCCAGAATGCTGCCAGGAACAGGGCCCACGCCTTCCAATCCAAACCTCCACCCACCCACCTGAGAAGAGCCTTGGACCGCACGAACAGGCTGGCAACCGAGGCTGGAGCTCTTTGCATTAACGCTAGGCAGGCACTGGGGGAACAGGAAGGGGGGAGCTCCATGACGAGGGAGCAGGTGCTTGCCACGAGGGCGCACAGCAGGCGCAGCGCAGGCGCTGGCGAGCGCGAAACCGACCCTCCCTCCCTGCCTGACACGATGTGCAGGCAGGCAGCACGCCCCTTCTCTGTGCCAACAATGGCAGGCTGGCGAGAGCGCTTGGATGTTACAGGGCGCCGCGGGAATGAACGGCGGAGCCAGGCCCGAGCAACACAGCCGGCCTGGGGCATTCCCCAGGGGAGGCTGAGGCCGCTGCCACGACTACTGGAAAGCGGTAGTAAGGAGGCGAAGGAGGGAAGGGAAACAAGGGCAGTTGAGAAGAACCAGAAAATTGGTGTAGAGGGACGAGGGACGGCGTACGAAGGGGCACGGCGCTGTGTGGGGATGCACGCGGCGTGCGGGGCTTGGGAGTGAAGTGCTCAATTGGGGGTGGGTGCCAGGAGCGGGTACAGTGCAGTGTGTGTGATGCCAGTGATGCTCGAATAGCATAAAGAGCGGGGAAGAAGTTCCGTCACAGGGCAGAAGGCAGCGCAGCGCAGCGGGGGGCGAGCCGGGGGGGCGGCGTGCGTGGTCGGGCAGAGGCGGCGGCGTGCACGCCCGCAGAGCAGCGCATGCAGTTGGTGGGAGTATGGGTGGCATGGGTGCCGGGGTAACAGGCTAGGGCAGCGGGTGCGCGCGCAGCGGCAGAGGCTTGCGCGGCACCCCTGGCGACGCAGCAACAGGCGGCGCCTGGCC